AATGGCAACGAGTCTGCAAAGTATGGGAGAGGCTCAAATGTTTGTTCTTACCCCTCTGTACTGTACTGTACATACATAGACTCGGATCCGATAAGGTGCCGATTTGTGTTGCAATATGACGCCAGGAAGATTTGTCAATACAGCTAGCTATATGATGCTAACAGCAAGCTAAGAAGGCAAGACATTGATTTCTATCTAATTGAACCATTAGATTCTATCCATATATTGAGTTTATGGTGATAAGATATTATAAAGGTGATACTATTCGACTCAGTGTAAAATACTGGTTGAACTATGTTCCCTAGCAATACTGCCCTTTGCGTGGTAAGTGAAATAGTCAAAAGAGTACGATGGTTGGTATCTAGAATTCTAGATATAATCCGATACGATTCCTAGAATTGCTATAATAGCAAATTGTAAAGTCAAATAAAAGTGCTTACTCCAATAATGAATAATACCTAATACGTACTACCTATCTACCACCCCACACTCCCCACTGCGCCCACCGGTCGGTTACATCTCTGGATCCCCATTCCATTCCCAATTCCATCGAAAAGCGGGGTCGGATGTCTGTACCCGGGCGAGCTTTTCTACATTCGAGACAACGTATGTACCTGGGTAAGTAATAATAGGTATCTGTGTAATTCATTACCTATTCAACTGGAAAGGCAGAAAATTACGTGACTATTCCTGTTATTGTTAATATTGTGTTCTGTTGTATTTATATTTATTTAGTTCGGTTGGTTTAGACGAAATACGGTAGAGTGATATAACATACTACTTACTTCTCCTCACAAATATCTCTCTCATATATACACCATATACTACTCCATTCTATTATTCAATAAATATATTTCATTTCATTTTCTAAAATGACAGCAACCACAACCTCAACCCACAACACCACCACCACCTTCACCCTAGGCGACGACCAGCAAAAACAACGACAAGTCGCCGTAAGCGACACCCCGCACCGCATCATCATCCGCGACGAACCCGTCCCCCAGCCTTCAGGCACCCAGGTGCTAGTACGCATCGAAGCCAGCGGCGTGTGCGCGACAGACCTGCACCTCGTGCGGCGCTCGATACCCTATCTGACGCCCCAGGTCGCCGTCTGCGGGCACGAGGGCATCGGGCGCATCGTGCAGCTGGGGCCCGAGGTGAATGCGACGAAGTGGAAAGTCGGCGACCGCGTTGCCCATCGGTGGATCTACCGCGTGTGTCGCGAGTGTGAGCCCTGTAAGAGTGGGAATGAGCAGTTGTGTGATCGGCGGCAGTTGAGTGGGAAGGATGTTGAGGGGTGTTGGGCTGGTAGGTAGTCTTATTTCTGAGATATCATACCTATCTATCTCTTGAACCATACGTGATAATGCTGATGGTGGTTAGACTACACCCTCGTCGATAGCGAATACATGCTCCCCATCCCCGAGGAGGTGAAAGCGGCCGAAGCTGCGCCCATCCTGTGTGCAGGTGAGCGATTCTTCACAACTAGAGTCTAGAAATGTCACTGATCTCGCCTTTTGTTGCAGGGACGACTGTCTACCGGGCATTGAAATCAGCCCAGCTGGCGCCCGGGCAATGGGTCGCCATTGTCGGTGCCGGAGGGGGATTGGGTCATTTGTACGTGCAATACGCCCTATAACTCTGCATTTGTAAAATAAGTCATACTAATGACTGCCAGGGCCATCCAATACGCAAAAGCAAAAGGACTCAAAGTCCTCGGAATCGACGGGGGCGAAGACAAGGGCGCACTGTGCACCAAGTTGGGCGCTGACGCATTCGTCGATTTCACCAAGACGAAGGCACTTGGAAATAAACCCCTTCATTGCCATTTATTTTGCTGACGCAGTCTAGGACCTCACCGCCGACGTCATTCAAACCACCCAAGGCGGCGCCCACGGGGTCCTGGTGACCAGCTCCAGCCCCCGGGCGTATGAGCAGGCCTTGACATACGTTCGCAAGATGGGCGTCCTCATCTGCATTGGCATTAGTAAGTGTCGCCCCTAGCAATATTCTTTTTGATGATTGGTACTAACTGTCCTGTTTGTTCTGTAGCACCGCAAAAAATGACCTTCCCCATCGGCCCCGAATACTTCGTCGCAAAAGGCGTTCGCCTCACGGGTACCAGTACGGGCACCTTCACCGACACGCAGGAAGCACTCGAGTACCTGCGCACGGGACAGGTCAAGCCCATCGTCGTGGAGAAGAAGCTGGGCGAGATCCAGGAGTGCTTGGACCAGCTGGAGAAGGGGGATGCGGTGGGGAGGTTTGTTGTTGTTTTTTGAGTCTGCTCAGTCTAGATTGTATGTATGTACTGCAATGCATGTAATTGAGCATAGGCCATATGCCATGAATGAATTTGTGGATTCAAGATGAGATGTGGTCGTACATGGAGCTAGTACATGGCGTTATATCGAGGTGGTTACAGGCATATATGAATTACTAATCAACTGCACGAGGTCACATCGCTCGACGCATGTCAAAGAATAACAATGACAATGAAAAAATATCGCTCAATAATGCATTAAACACAACAATAATCATATTTCCAACAATACGACTTCAGGCGAAAGGCGAAAATGCGCCGGGACACCAGCTCAACGACCATGGATTCGTCATATCCGTGCCGGTTATGTCAGAAGGCATTTTCGCGAAGTGAGTTAAATAATAATAATAATCCTTGTGCATTCTGTCATATATATATAACAATAGGCTTTGTTTTCTATACCCGTGTTATTTATTAATTATTAATTAACATGACCTGCTTGTACGGTAGGAGACCTACGGGACCGCCACACGCGACGATGCACCAACACCTGGGGCAAGCCGCGGAAATCCAAGCGCAAGGCGTGTCTCAACTGCGTCAGGATGAAACTCAGATGCAGTCTTGATGTTCCGTCCTGCAAGAGGTGCTTGGCTAAAGGCATTGCTTGCGAGTATGAATCTGGTGTCAGGGCGCAGCGCCAGGTCTCCTGAAGGAACAGTTACTCTCGACGGCCATGTCAATGCCAATGGACTCTCGTTAATTTCACAGGATGGTAGCGAAACGGTCGCTGCGGTAGAACATTCACTTGATCTAGGGTCGCTATCGTCTGCTGCAGCGACTGCTACTACTACTCCCCCAGATCGGCTGTCTACGCTCAGTGTTCAGCCCGCTCTCCTACAGGAGACTCTCGATGGGTTTGACATTTCCCTGTCGCTGCCAGACGATATTCCGAGTTTGTTTGAAACGTCGCGAGAAGAGAATCAGAACCAGAATCCTCTGCCAACTCTGGAACCCACGTACGAGGGAGAACCCTCCGGGGCTTCCGATTCCCTCGCTGATCATCTGCCATTCGACAATGTGATACCTAACCCCATGAATGGAAATTCCCTACCGCTCAATTACAGCAATCTGGTGACGTACGGAGTCGGGATCAGCCGACTTCCCCCACATCCCACCGTCGAACAGCTCATCGAGTTTACGCGCAACTACCCCCGACAGATGCTCGACGTCGACTACTGGTCACCCTTTGTCCACCACGCTGCTCGCGCGGGGGCGTGGCAGAACCGCTGGCCGTCGCGCTCTCTTGCCTCGCAGCCAAGTACAGTGGCTTCCAGAACACGACGCGTTTTATCCACAAGCTGGGAGAACAGGAGAAGGCCCGGCTGATTGAGCAGTTTGTACGCCGATTACCATTGCTGGACATGGTCCGGTTCTAGGCTGATGATCGACTAACAGCCGCAGAATTTGCAATCGTTGAAGGATTCGCTGGCAAGCATCCATGCCATGTGCGTCCATCAGATATCCGGACTGCTGGACGACAACAAAGACGCGACGTCTGGTTCTCAATTCAATTCGGCGCAGTTGTATCAGCCGTATCTCCTGAAGGTTAGTCATATAGCCTGCCACAGTATCGACCATGGCGGTCAATTGACAGCAAACAGATGACGAGAAAGCCGTGGCAAGAGCATATGGCCATTCCGAAAGACCATTCCGATGAAGTCAGCTGGGAGAAGTGGCAGCTGGCCGAAACGCTCCGTCGAACCGTGCACCTCGTCAACGTGGTCAACAAGCTCGCCTGTTACACGGCCAAGGCGACTGCGCAGTTTTACGAACCGTTGGATGACAAGTTCATCCTCGATATTGCCCTCCCCGCGCCCGACGCCCTCTGGAAAGCCTGCACAGCGGCCGACCCGGGCACAAATCAGCGAGCAGAGTTGGGAGGGATTGACTCCGAGACGCGTACTCCAATCACCAGAATCCAGCAACCTCCTGTCCCTGTGTTCTGGCGGCAGTCATCCCGATTCGTCTGCAGAGTTGGCAAGACTGATCATGGCGTGCATCCAGTTGCATCCTCAGTAGAGTATCTGGGATTCAGATGAAATTCGTCAGGGCTTGCGCGTCGCTGTGTAGATTAGTGTAATCGGACCCGCGTCAGTGGCGCAGTCACGTGCCAGGTTCCCCGGACGCGGGCCGCGAGTCCCCGGTAATTAATTACTTCGTCGTCAAAGACACGAAATCAATCTCGCTCACCCAGCACGGCCTGCCGCTGAAGGTGACTGCATTTTGACATTCGAGACGGCTGTCTGGGTTCCCTGTGACCGCTGTCCGGCGCTCTCTCTCTTGTGTGACCGGTCACCCTCGCGCTGCAGGTCCGCTGGGCTGTACTCGTGGCCAAATCATGCCAGCCCCGTGAGGCTATCCTGCAGCCCAACAGCCACAGAATCCGCTCCTCCGCGCTGCAGTCCTTCGAATGACTCCTCCGATTCGTCGATTTGCGCATTCACTCTTTTCGCCTATCCCTCCTACGGTCATTGCTGCTTGGCAGGGCGCCCACGCCCTCTCCCTTGCCGCCTCTCAAAGGAATTCACCCCCAATCGATCCATCGTGGCCTCCGCTCCAGGAAACCCAGCCCTGTCGGGCCCGACTAAAGGGTCCACAGATTCAGACAGGTTGCTGAGGGATCATCAAGACCATCTAGATGACGAAGAAAACGACGAGATGGCCCTGTCGCGTCCGCCGCTGCATCGCCCAGGAGATGGCCGTTCACAACAGCCGTTGCTGAAAGATGAGCACCGTGGACGGCTCTCAAACACCTTTTCAGAGTCCTCCGAGCGAGGGTTGGCTCGACCAGGCTCTTCTCGCAGGTCGCATCTCCGGAGTCGAACGCCCGACTATGAGGCGAAGAACTCGACCCGCAGGAAATACATCTATGCGGCGTTCTTTTTGCTCCTGAGTCTGGTGAGCTTTGTCGTCCAGACCGAGACGGCCGTCTATATCCAGCATGAGCTCCACTGGGACAAACCATATGCAATGCTGTAAGTCGTGCTTTTCTTTTGTCTTTCTCCCCTAAACAGACACTCACGATTGTTAGCTACTTAACACATGGTTCATGGGTCCTCCTGTGGCCGATTCAGCTGGTCATCCTCCGGATCCAAAAGCGGACACTGTCCTGGGAAGCCTTCTGGCGCCGACACGTCTATCTGCTGCGCACAACGGCGCAGATGGTCGAGACGCAAGATCTGCATCTGACGTCGCGCGATTATCGCCGGTCGCCGGTCCCGTACATGCTGAAGACGACTGCGTTTGTTGCGATGGCGCTGACCATTGCGGGCGGCTCGTGGTATGTGGCCGTCAACATGACGACTCCCAGTGATCTGACCGCCATCTACAACTGCTCCGCCTTCTTTGCCTATGCGTTCTCGGTGCCTCTTCTGAACGAAAAGCCCCGGTTCGACAAGATCTTTTCGGTGGTGGTGGCCGTTGTGGGAGTCCTGGTGGTTGCGTATGGAGACTCGGGTGCCCCCGACGACACGGCTGGTCCGGGGTCCGAGGGGAAGCATGAGGCCGACAATCGGCTGCTGGGCAACATCATCATCGGGATCGGGAGTGTTTTATATGGCTTGTACGAGGTTCTGTACAAGAAATACGCGTGTCCGCCGGAGGGCACCAGCCCGGGCCGGAGCATGATTTTTGCGAACGCGGTGGGCAGCCTGCTCGGGTGCTTCACGCTGTTTGTCCTGTGGGTTCCGCTGCCGATTCTCCACGTGTTGGGTTGGGAGACGTTCCAGTGGCCGACCGGAGAGGCTGGGTGGATGATGCTGATTTCTGCCGCTGCCAATGCCAGTAAGCAAGACGGAATCCGAGTGATCTTCACCGATACTAATTTATTGCCTGATAGCCTTTTCTGGAGCGTTCCTTGTCCTGATCTCGCTCACCTCACCCGTCCTCTCGTCCGTCGCCGCTCTGTTGACCATCTTCCTCGTGGCTATCGTGGACTGGATGCTGACGGGCAAGCCACTGTCTGCCGCCGCCATCACGGGCGGCCTTCTCATCACTGTGGCGTTCTTGCTGCTGAGCTGGAGCACGTATCGCGAGTTAGACGAAGAGCGGCGACGACGGCTGGCGGACGAGGGGCCGGATTCGGAGAGCGACGAATAAACAGCGTCTTTCTTGTTTGATTCAACAGTCATGATCTATTAGAGAGCCTGGGCGGCTGCCTGTATATGCGATCTGCATCATCATCTTCTTCGACTTGTACAGTACATTATTCGGGTTTTATCTTGCTATGTCTCGGCTACATGTGTGGTATATACATGCATGGATGGATATCCATCAAATAATGTCTTATTCTGCTGCATTTGATGCAGTTATAGAGCGTGGCTGGTTGATAGACGGGTGGATAGAGGTGAAATTGAATAATAGACTGATTGCAGGACATCTAAATTTTGTCAAACTGTCCATAATTAAATAAATTATTCAATCGATCCATAAATCAATTAAAAAGAAAACTGCCATCTATCTCGTCTGATACATTAAGTATTAGATAGAGAAAGTGGATGCCTGGCTGTGACTGGAGGAGCCAGCTAAGCCTCATTGGGCGGTCGCATCCGCAACTCGCAACTCTCTGGCAGCCAGCACAAGCAAGCATCCATCAATCCCGGGGAAGCGCACCGCAACCCCTCAGCAGGAGAACTCACTCTTGTTTATTTCCCTTTCCCTTCATTCTTCCCATTTTTTTTCTTTTTCTTGTTACATGGTGGAATTCCCGATTCGTCGTCTAGGCTAGAATAAGAAAAACAAAACAAATTCAATTCACGAATCATGGCCGACGCGCCCATCGGTGAGTACTACTCATCCTTCCTTCCAATTACTTACTTGCTGTCCGCCCTGGCATCCTGCTGACACATCTCCAGTCCTCGACGGAGGAACCGGTTTCCTCAAGGTCGGATATGCGGCGCAGGTATGCTGCTTCCTCGTCGTCCGTCTGTATCGCTGTTCTGGTCTAATGTCATCGTCTTGCAGAACTTCCCCGAACACCAATTCCCCTCCATAGTGGGGCGCCCAATACTACGGTCCGAAGAGCAGGCTGGCGACATCGTGGTGAAGGATATCATGTGCGGCGATGAGGCGGCGGCTGCGCGGTCGATGCTGCAGATCAGCTATCCGGTAGGAACGGCGTGAGATATATACGTAGGTAGGTACTGGGTGCTGACTGCCGGCAGATGGAAAACGGCATCGTGAAGAAGTGGGATGATATGCAGCATCTGTGGAACTACACCTTCTACGAGAAGATGAAGATCGACCCGACCGGGCGCAAGATCCTCCTCACGGAGCCGCCCATGAACCCGCTCAAGAACCGCGAGCAGATGTGCGAGGTCATGCTGGAGGGCTACAACTTTGGCGGCGTCTACGTGGCGATTCAGGCCGTGCTGGCGCTGTACGCGCAGGGTGAGTTCGTCAGATATGCTTATTTGAAGGGGTTTGTGTCTGACTACATCAGGCCTGAGCAGCGGGGTTGTTGTCGATTCCGGCGACGGCGTCACGCACATCGTCCCCGTGTACGAATCGACCGTGCTGAACCATCACATCCGCCGACTCGACGTGGCGGGCCGCGACGTGACGCGGAATCTGATCGCGCTGCTGCTGCGCCGCGGGTACGCCCTCAACCGGACGGCCGACTTCGAGACGGTGCGGCAGATCAAGGAGAAGCTGTGCTACGTGTCGTACGACCTGGAGCTGGACAAGCGGCTCTCGGAGGACACGACGGTGCTGGTGGAATCGTACACGCTGCCCGACGGGCGCGTCATCCGGGTCGGCAGCGAGCGGTTCGAGGCGCCCGAGTGTCTGTTCCAGCCGCACCTGGTGGACGTGGACCAGCCGGGCATTGCGGAGCTGCTCTTCAACACGATTCAGGGGACTGATGTCGACGTGCGAAGCAGCTTGTACAAGGCGATCGTGCTGAGCGGGGGGAGCAGCATGTACCCGGGGCTGCCGTCGCGGCTGGAGAAGGAGCTGAAGCAGCTGTGGTTGACGCGGGTGCTGCAGGGGAATCCGGAGCGACTGAATGTAAGACAGTGTATTCGACAGAATATGCTGATGTATGCTGACGTCGTCCAGAAATTCAAAGTGCGCATCGAAGACCCGCCCCGACGAAGACACATGGTCTTTTTGGGCGGTGCCGTGCTGGCGAATCTGGTGAGCACCATCCACAAACTAATGAAGAATGAAGTCATGGCTAATATGTTTAGATCGCCGACAAGGAAGACATGTGGGTGACAAAGCAGGAATGGCAGGAGCAGGGACCGCGGGTGCTGTCGAAGCTGGGACCGCGATAAGCGGTTGTCATCGTCACCGTCATGTCGAGTCGAGTCGAGTCGTCGTTTCATGTCCATAGCATACCTGCTTAGCATAGCCTGAGACCCAATCGATTAGCGATACGTATGCCGTCGTCATTTTCTATCCATGATCATCTATCTATTCATGTATAGGTATGGCATAGGTGTAGATATATAAATCAAGTATCTAGAATTAGACTACCTAGGTACCTCCTGGTAGATAAATTATATCTATCGCTATTATCTATCTATCTATCTATATGTGAAGAAAATATACCAATCGGGACGGAGAATATCAGCAACATCTAAGAACAATAATAATCAAGGGGAAATAAACAATCCCCTCACACACGCAGTCACGTATATACCAACACACCCTGTCTCTTTCTCTTTTTTATTGTTTGTTTACTTCCCACCCTGCCTACTCTTCTCATTCCAAAACGCCAGTCCCGCCTTCTGCCTCAAAATCCCGTACATGGCACTACTGTCAAGACATTCACCCGCATACTCGCGCGCAGCGACCATGTTGTCCCTCGCAAGCTGCACACCAGGCAACTCGACGCCGCGCTCCTTGGCCATGCTGAGGGCGTGATTCGCGTCCTTGATGGCAAGCGAGACGCCGAAGCCGGGGCGCTCGGTGAGGGGAGGGGCGTAGGCGCCTGACGTCAGGCTGGAAACACCGTCAGAACCAGACCAAAATCTAGATCTAGTATCCTAGGGGAGACAGGGGTTTACTAACCGCTTCGAATAACCACCAGCAATCTGCCCAAACGCCTCACCAATCAACTCCTCCATCAGACCCGTCCCAAGACCCGTCTTCTCCGCAAACACCTGCGCCTCGCCCACCGTCTCCATCAGGCTGACAGTCACAATATTCCCCGCGATCTTCAGCAGAGAAGACTTGGTCGCGTCGTCCCCGCAGTCAATCACCTTCCTGCCCATGACGTCCTGGATGAGCGGCTTGATAGCGTCGCGCGTCGCCTGGTTGGCGCCTCCGAGCGCGAACACGAGTTTTCCCGCCGTCGCGACGGGGTTTCCGCCAAAGACAGGCGCCGCGAGGAAGGACGCTTCGTGCGCTTGAAGTTTTGACACAGCGGACGCGACCGTGTCAGGGTGCACAGTCGAGCAGTCGACGAAGATTTTCGACCGGAGGGATAGCCCTGACGAAGTAATAGAAGTGACGAGGTTGTCGAGGACCGCGTCGTTGGAGACCTGCAAACACATATAATCAGCAAGCACACCCTCAACCCCAACGCATGCTTAGTTAGTTGGTTAGGGGAGGGTTATACCATAGTAAAAATAATCCCACACTTATCAACAACCTTCTCAAAACTCGTCTCCGGAACACCGCCCAGCTCGCGCAAGGAATCGCCGCGCGACAGCGTCCGGTTGGAGAAGATGAGGTTCAGCGATTTTTTGGCTGAGAGGTGCCGCTGTAGGTTGGTGGCCATGGCGAGGCCCATTGATCCGAGGCCGTACTGGTGTCGTCAATCAGTAAATACTTTATTGGGACTGTGTTTGGATTGGGATGGATTGTACTCACCCAGCCGATTTGCGTTGCTGCCATGGTGGTGGTGGATGATTTCAATCAATTGATCGAACGATCACTCAGTCAGTCAATTAACTAGGAATTATTTGATCTGTCGTTCGCAGAATAATTAGCAGCTGCAGCTGGTGTAGAGTACCTATCTCTTATCTGGTGAGCAAAACTAATATAAAAAAAGAAAAGAAAAGAAAAGCTATCAGCAGAAGTATATAATACACCACTATGTTATGTCGTAAAGCGATTGAACGAGACGAATATGGAGATAATAATATAGTACAGGTAGGTACTCACCTCCAGAATTAATTAAAAAGTAAACCCCAACGAAGGAACGACAACAGCTCGGCTAGCTAGCCAGATAGGCAGATAGCTAGACAAGTAGATAGCTACCCCTCCTTGAGTCCGTAGGCAGGCAGGTAGGTATATAAATGAAGAAAGATAAAAAAATTACATTACACCGTACATGGACGGCTCGATGATATCACCGGCCCGGCACGGATTCCGTCAGCCAATGAAAAAAATCCAAAAAAATCATCCCGTCCTGTCACACTTCCAAGAATGATTAATATGACAGGCCGGTGAGGACGACGATTGGTTCGTTGGCAAATAGAAATACTCCGTAATGTCCACTTGGCTGTTTTAACGGGCGTCGGGCGGGTCCGGTGAGCCTTTCTTGGTGTCAGACTCTCAGTCATACACTCAGGGAGTACAGTCCTCCCGGCCGAAAGATAAGGATGATGATATCTATACTCCAATCCCCGTGTTTACTCCATATCTATCTACCTAAGGTATCTATCTACCTAGGTATCTAGGTATTTATCTATCTAGGTATCTAGCCAGAGATTATTAATATTGCAGGGATAGTATAGGTACCTACCTATCTACCTAGGTACAGTAAATTGGGGAAATTCAATTCCTGCTCAGGGAATCTAACATGATATTATTCACTGGAAATCGTACGGTAATAATATCTATGGATCTGATTGCATTGCGTTGCATTGCAGTGATGTTATTCTAATAAACACTTAAATCAAGGGAAGGAATAGAATAGATTAGAATGGCAATTTGATGGTTAATGAGGGAGGAATATTATTATCAAATCCATTTGGGGAGATTGGTATTCTTTCACCTGCCTATATGGTCGGGATATTTTCTGTAAACAGCCAGTCTCATACCGTTCTGAATTATGTGCATGGTTCCTGCTTATGTACAGTGCATAAAGAAAATAATCAATATAGATATAGTCATAGATAATGGATATAGATAGATATACTGACTGACAGGCATGAAGCCTGGCAGCATAACGAAGAAACGCTTATCGATATGCGCGAGATGGTGAACTTCGTGATCGTACCACCGGTGAAAATCAGTAAAAAAAAACCCCCGAGAAAGTAGAACCAAGAAGTCCGTATGTAATCACCAAGCAATGCAAATGCAACCGGGTATATAGATAATAGCAAACAGCAAGCAAACAGCAGAGGCAGATATCTGCAGGGTGGGCTACGGCTTGTCAGTTTTGATCCTCGTCACATCGACCAGCCCCGGATACGCCTCCGCAAACGCCGGCCCTAGCGACCAATTGTTCAGATCGCGAATATGCCGCTCAAACACCGGGTTGATGATCAGCTCGTCCGACTCGGTGTCGTGCAGCAGGCAGTCCGTCGGCTCGTGCGGCCAGTTGCACGACACGGTCCGCGAGTACGGGATGAACCAGTTCTCGAACGGATACTCGCGGTGCGTCAGCACGATCCGGTCGCGCATCTTGGGCCACAGCACATAGTCCACCCACGCCGGGTGCGGCGTGAACAGCTGCGCCGGCCGCGGCGTAATCCAGTCCGGCATCTCGTCGTAGTTCTTCTGCGTCGGCGAGATCTGCCACCGCATGAGCAAAAACATGTGGTACAGCACCCCGATCTGCTCTGGCAGCGTCGAGCAGTCCGGGAACGTCCGGATGATGTCCGTGAACAGCTTGCAGATCGCGTACGAGCACGGCGCGCTCTGCACCGGGTTCAGCAGTGACGACACGCAGGGGTACGGCAGTCCGACCAGCTGCGACTGCCGGAGTGCCCCCTCGGCCACCTCCCGTCGACGGTCCTGCAGAAAATTCAGCAAGATGACGTCCAGCGGACAGGTCGGCGGCATATTGCGCAGCGGCACCATGTACATGAGAGGCTGGTCCGCCACACTGGCCGGGTCGACGCGGAGGTTTGTTCCCGAGTCGCGGCGGACGCCGTTCACCTTGGTGATCTTGTGCCAGAGTGGGTGACTGCTGTCGACCAGGAAATTCAAGACAAACCTCTCCCCGGCATCATGCAACGACAGCTGCGGATCGATCGCGGTCCTCACCACGCTCAGCGGATCAGGTTTCGGCCAGACTCGAACCGCAGCCGCCGGAAGCGACGGTGAAGGCGTTTCCTCCACGCACGACGGCTCGAGAGAGACCGACTCCATGCTGACGGGCGTGTCATGATTCCGTTCTGTCACGGGCGATGGATGCGCCACTTCTGCCGGGGCAGTTGGCACGGTCAAGGCAGGATTTTCTTCTGTGTTGAACGTCAGCGAATCGACCGCCCGTCGCATCGACGTCTATCTATTCCATACCCCCCTTGACCACGATGGGGTGGATGAGATCCAACACCGCCGCCAGCCGGCGCTTGATCTCCGCATTTTCCGCCTGGACAGCCTCCTTCTCCGCGATGACCTTTTGCAGCTCCTGGTACGGCTGCGTCGAGGACAGTTCGCAGACCTTCCTCTCCAACGCCTCAATCTGAGCCTTGGTGCGCTCGCGGATGGCGCGCTGCGCCTGCCGGTCGTTTGCCCGTTTCCTGGCCAGCTGCTCGGGGGTCAGGTTGGCCACGCCCCGCGAACTGGCTCTGCTGCCCGATTTGCGTCCCTTGTCCTCTGCGGCCGGGGCGGGCGGCGATACGGCGGTTTCTGGCGACGTTGCGGCGCACGGCTGCGCATGGTCTGGTTGCGCCGGAGCAGGGATTGTGGGTTCGACCAGTCGGTACGAGGGCAGGGCATCGCTGGAGGGAGCTGGCATGGCCATACCAGCGTCACCTCCGGTTAGGATTCATGAGAGCGAGACAGTGGAGCCGCAGAATGTCGACGTGGCGAACAGCAGGCTGGTAGAGCGACAGTCGAACAGACAGCAGGACAGTCAGTCATGGAGAGATGGCAGCAACATTCGGTCAAAGAATGGCAGCGACAGGGGCGATGGACATGGTCGGTGTAGCGCAGCCAGTTTAGTCTGACAGTTGAACGGCGGATCTGCAGGCGGACCAGTTACCGCATTCGGAGTCAGCCATCCGATCTGATAAAGATAGTCATGGCAGAAGAAGCATATTGCATGCCTCTGTAAAGTTCCATGATCCATATGCACTGTCTTGTAGCTTAAAGGAAACTGACATAAAGCTCAGCTGTTATTCAGCTGACAAAGGGGCTACGAAAACCCTGTTTCTCCTTCGCAGGCAGAGATGTCCCCTTCGATCGCTGGGATTGGCATAGCCAGTTACCACGTAGTGTGGGAGACTAGCACTGGTCTTTGACTAGACTTGACCAGCCACAGGCGCCAAGTATTTCATGAATGGTATGCCCAAGAAAGACCGACCGCCTGGCTAGTGCAATCGAGTTAGTATGTTTCTGATGCCCTCGCGAACACCAGCAAACTAGAAAGCAGTATTGCAAGGGAATCAATAAGAGATATAAGATATAATAAGTGTAAATAGTAAAGTGCATAGGAGATTCTGCATAAATGACATGCTGGAATATCTCGTATAAACATATGCAGGCTCAAACCCATGTGAACCAGAGATAGACCCCTTTTGTGTACAGAATATCCCCAGGACACAGCTCTATCCCAGGTCGAGTGATACAGCACATGTATGTACGTCTGATGCTCTCATTCCAATGGAGACAACCAGAAAGGTGAATGCCCGGTGGTGTGAAGGATCAAAATGGCACATAACCCCAGCAGCAAGAAAATGCAACGAAACACACCCAACATGAGTTCATAACGCCATTTGCCGCAGTGTATGGGTAGTAGTAGTATAATATAGTGAATATAAGGAAGGAAGACACAAGGACATCGCCCAGGTATGGCATATGGCAGCTCTAATGAATCATATGGCCCATCTTTCCAATCTGTTGGCACGAGTCAGCAGATAATTCATCATCAAGTTTATCGTATCGTATTGATTGAACGGATCTGCACCCACCTTCGTTCGTAAATACCCCTCGATCTCGGCACTCCGGATCCCTCGCTTCCCACCGGTCCTCCATGCCAGCGGGATCATCGGCACTCGTTCCTTGACAATGACCTCCCGATTCGGCCCCTCCACCGCCCGAATCTTGTCCGGGTTGTTGGTCAGCAGCCGGATGCCCTCTGGATACGAATCCGCCCCGAGGCCCAGGTCGACTAGCATTGCCGTCGCCAGACCATAGCTCCGCGCGTCGGCCGGGTGTCGCAGGAGGAGATTGGCCTCCACCGTGTCCGACCCCAGGTCTTGCAGATTGTAGGCCTTCAGCTTCTCTCCCAGGCCAATGCCCCGGCCTTCCTGTCGCAGGTAGATGATCACTCCGCCCGGCGATTCGGACTTCTGGCTAGGGGAGGAGACTGCCCCTCCAGCAGCGGCGTTATCAATCTCATCGCCCTCTGATAGCAACTCCGGAGGCGTCGACATCAACCGTGCCGCCTCGTCCAGCTGCTCGCCGCAATCGCACCGCGCTGACCATGCTGTCTCACCGGTGTAGCACTCGGAATGGATCCTCACCAATGGTGCCTGACGTGGTTTGTTCTGATGGACTCCAGGTTGGGACAAATCTTCTGAGTCTGTCTGGTCTCCTGAATCCCCTTTCGATTGCAACCTCCTATAATATTCGTCATTGTCATACCGGCTATGAATTCGGCCGGGATGTAGCCTTCCCACGTATGCGCCCCGGATCATGCGGTCCATCTCCGTCTCGCCCGGGCGGACGCGGTCCAGACTGCGGGACCGTATGTTGTTCCCAAAGACAATGGCCAGGTGCTCCTTGTCGTCCACATCGTTCTTATAGAGGTGGAGGAACATCTCCGCGCCCGTCGTGGTCGGGATGCGGGCTCGCACGATACACTCGACATTGGGCAAGCGTTCGAGCAGTTTCGGCCCCTTGGTCGATCCAACTTTCTCTCGGTGGTCTATCAGGTCCTGCTGATGAATCCTGTCGTTCTGGGGAAGGGTCAACGTGCCTCCGGGCGTCGTGGGAGGGGTGAAGGTGGGGGAGATGATGGATTCGGGGAGGGCCGGCGTCGAGTCGTGTTCGTGCTCATTGTTGTGCGAAACAGGGCTTGTTCCCGACTCCGGCGATCGAGAGTCGACGCTTGTATCGAGCGAGAAGCCTTCGCCAGGGCGATTGGGATGGAGGGGTTGCGGCGCGAGGTACGGAGAAGCGTGCGACGGCAACTCCGCCATCTTTGCTGGGGCTCCCCCGCGGAGAGACACCAAACCAAGGCAGGGGACGATTGGTCTTGATCGATGCTGCCCTGGACGGCCCGGGAAGCGATATGAAGATGCCTGCGTGACGCTGGATCCAGCCAATTTGCAGCGCTTTCATGCGGGGATAGCATGCAGACTGCCGTGCTCAGCCTGCTTAGTCAGCGACCCCGGAAAAAGCCCGAGGCCTCGGGACGGAAGGCACGGCCGGTGATTCGTCGCGCCTGCCGACGCCGGAACGAGACAGAAGAATTCCCGGCAAGTTGGATTCGGCATCAATGACAATGCAATTTCTGTCTGCGTTTTACCAATACAGGCTAGAGCCTCGCTGTCTGTATGCGCATACATACAGTGGTAGACACATGCATGCAAACAATATCCCAGCCAGTCCAATTCCGAGTCCTTCTCCCTACTCCAAGCTCCAGTGTGTAGCGAAAATCGAAGGGTATCAGTCCCACACTCCCAAGAAAAAACACGTCCCAAGTCGCGATGCGTGAAAAGATATAGTATAGTAGCCTACTTCCCCGGAATATCCAGAACGAACCGTTTGTCCACCTCCATCTCCTTGTCGTCCTCCTCGCCCTCGAACTTCAGCCGGTAGACATCCTTCTTGGAGCCCATCACCTCGGCACGGTAAAATGTCGTCGTGTCCGGGTACCTGGCCAGCACCTGCTTGCCCACGGGAAACGAGGGCAAGGGCGCGCCGGGCTGGGGAATGGGAATCAAAGACGCCGCCGTTGTCCGATAGACGGCTCCCTGCTCCCCATTCTCATTGGGCTCCGGGTCCTGGACATCATACCTGTATGGAAATGAGCGTTAGTAGTGGAATCCCCGTGGGCAAGGAGAACACGGTATACCGTTTCTTATGCCCTTCTCCCGAAATCCCCTTGATGATGCATTGAATGCCCTCACCCTCGACGCCTTGCTTGTTCTTGTTGTGCTTGAAAACCACTTCGGCGCCAATGAAGAACTGTCCGCTCCGCTCCGCAGGGGTGCCTTTGGCGCCTTCGGCACCCTCCTCCACTTTGACGGAGACACCGTCCCGGCCATCGCGGGTGTGCGCGCTCGAGACGCTCGAGCTGCGTTGCGTGCTGCCCTTGACTCGATTGAGTTTATCTGATAGAACCGAGTTAGACGGGCGTGGCGCAGGGATGGCAGAGCCATCCGTCTCAGCATATATCTTACTGGATTTGGGAATGGACGCAGCCCGACTCAAGGGCGCCTCCGCTTCTGAGGCCGACCGGAGCGCAGTCAGAAGACCCAGGTTCTTGATCACGTCGCAGGGCTCCTCCTGCAAGATGGCCTTTTCCTCCTCACTCAGCTTCAGCAGCTGGCGATACCAACTGTCCAGTTGGTTGTACTCGCTTAGTGTTGGTCCTGTTGGGCGTTAGCATGATATCCTGGCACGATGTTTGACGACAATGATGGAAATAGGCCGTATTCAGGAGGAAAAGACCAGGTTTGTACAAAATAACAATCTCGAGTTAGGTGGCCAAGCCAAATCCAATTCACTGTACTCTCCCAATGCAACAAATTCAACAAGAGTCAAGGAGTAATCGACAGGCCACATGACAGAAATTGCCGTTCAACACAAGTAATTGCCGGTTGAGGGACATGTGCAAACAGATATACTTACTATTGCCCTCTCTTGCAATCTTCTCGTTCAGACTGGCAATCTGCTCACTAAGGGCTCTCTGCTTGTCGTTCTTCTCCTTGGCCTTGCGCAGGTCCTGGATGATCTTGTTCCACATGTCTGTCTCCTCGTTCGCCGCCAGGCCGTTATCCCGGCTGGTGGGAGGGCCCCTAGGACGATTGCGCGACATGACGGCCGCCTCTTTGCCAACGGACGCAAACGCGGAATGGGCCTGCCCTGTCGCGGAGAGATGAAGAAGCTTGCGCTTAGCAATATCCAGTGCCTCCCACTCAAACGCGGAGACCAGCTCACAATGGGCACTGCGAGTCCGGGGACCAGCAGACTGGGGAGGAGCAGACGGGGGATTCTTCTTGGACGCCTTCCCTTTCACTCGAACAGGACCATCTCGGGGGGCACTGCCCTGCAGACCACACACAGACACAGACACGGCGCGACCGCCAATCGTCGAGACCTGCAGACCGAGAGGGAGCTCGTCTTCCCCCTTCGGGAGGCTGCGAATGCCGGTGTGGCTGGGGCTGGGGATGGCGGTGGCGGATGCACGTGTGGCGCGTGTGGCTGGGGCGGCGGAGGACTGCCCGTTCCTGCCATTGTTGCCATTGTCGCCCATGTCGCTATTGTTCCGCCGCTCCTTCCCTCGCCGGCTCCGGTGCCTGTCCCGATTCGGCATGGTAGGGCTGAGGGCTGAGGGCTCAGGGCTCAGGGCTCAGGGCCGCACGCGTCAGGCTGGGCGATCACGGGACGGATGCGGACGTCACACGTGCGGGATCGGCCAGCGCGGGCGGAGAGAAGGGCGGGGAAAGGCGGGCCCGACAGTGGTCGAGAATTATATTGCAGTCCCCCTGCTCGAGAGTGTGTCAACCGCGATTGAGACGAAAAAAAGCACTCAGAAATCCCTTCGTCTCTTCGTTAGCGTCTGCTTGGTGGAAAACGCTTCGTGAGCTCTGCTGGTTGCTCTGTTTACTGCCTGTGTTGTTGTCTTCAAGAGGGGCAATTTGTCAACAACACGCCGGACTCCGCCACCACAATGCAGGTCCCGTTGCTTCGTTTGCAATGCGGTAAGCATCGCCAACGACATCATGTGGGCATTGACGGGGCTAAGATTTTGCGCTTCCGACAGGCGTCAACAGCTACGATTGGGGTAAGATCATCTGGCCTCGAGCTGCGACAGGTGTGCCAGCTAAAACATCGACGTAGGCAAGATTGGCCAGCAGTCCGCTGCCGCCAAATATGCTGCTGCCAGCGCCAGTGCAGATTTTTCAATTGAAGCAGACAGGCCCTATGCAGAGGTAGGGTTGATCCAACTGTACTGGTCCCTCATCTGACCTAACACGTCTACACAGCTATGGATGGGCACGCATCCCTCGCTTCCATCCAAAGACCTCGAAACGCAGCGGACGCTGCTAGATCTCGTCCAAGACAACCAGGCCCTGATAGGTTCGGAGATCACGCAGCGATACGGCTCAAAGCTCCCCTTCCTCTTCAAGGTCCTGTCGATCAAGAAAGCTCTCAGCATCCAAGCACACCCCAACAAGAAACTCGCCGAAGAGCTGCACGCGAAAGATCCGAGGAATTATCCTGGTGAGCTCGACTTTCTACATTTTATGTATACAGGTGTTAATGCTGGGAATAGATGACAACCACAAGCCGGAGATGACGATCGCCATCACTCCCTTCGAGGGGCTCTGTGGCTTCCGGCCCCTGGGGGAGATCTTGCACTTCCTCAACACCGTCAAGCCACTGCGAACCCTGGTTGGCAACCAAGCGGCCAATGACTTCGAGCAGATCGTGAAAGGGTCTGAGGATTCCCAGGACCCGGCCGTGGTGGAGAAGAATAAGGACGCGCTGCGAGCGATATTCACGTCGCTGATGCAATCACCACAGGAGAGCATCGAGGCGGCGGCCAAGGAACTGGTCGCCGAGGCGGAGAATTCGCCGTCAACCTTTGCGGTGTCGCCAGACTCGGAGACGAACCCCGCCAATGCCTCTGACCTCGCAGAACTCGTGGTGCGGCTGAACGGGCAGTTCCCGAACGACATCGGTCTGTTCGTGCTGTTCTTCTTGAACTACGTCAAGCTCGCGCCCGGCGAGGCCATGTTCTTGAAGGCGGACGACATCCACGCGTACATCTCGGGCGACATCATCGAGTGCATGGCGTCGTCGGACAACGTGGTTCGGGCGGGGTTCACGCCCAAGTTCAAGGACGTGGCGACGCTGACGCAGATGCTGACGTACTCGTACGCGCCCATCGACGAGCAGAAGATGGAGCCGGCAGAGTATCCGTACGCGACGTTGAACATGGCCGCCTGGACGAGCGGGTCGAGCGTGGTGCTGTACGACCCGCCCATCGAGGAGTTCAGCGTTCTGAAGACGGACCTGAACCAGCCGGGGGCCAAGGCGACCTTTGAAGCGATCCCAGGGCCCAGCATCGTCATCTGCACGCGAGGACGGGGGAAGATCACCGTCGGGCCCAAGACGGAGGAGGTGAGAGAGGGATATGTGTTCTTCGTGGGGGCCGGAGCGGAGTGTATCATTGAGAATACGGGTAGCGGCGAGGGCGAGGAGGAGGAGGAGGTGTTTACCACGTTCAAGGCGTTCTGCGAGTTGGAAAGCCACGAACTGCCGAATGGTCATTGATTGCACATCAACCTATCATGACGCGTTCAGATATCCGCGAGCATAGCTAGAGAAGATAAAATTATAATAGTAATAAGACATAAAAGAGAGACATAAAAGATACAGATGCTATCAATATTATCGATCTCTCAGGAAAGTAATATAAGCCCATAATACGATTTTCTCCAAGCAGTGTAATATAGATCTCACCCTCTGTGCACATCCAGTAAATGCCATACACAGTGGCATACCATACGAAAGGCCAGGTTAAATCTTCGATCGAGATCAGTATAAAGTGTGCTGCTCTATCCCATTGTTACACAGACAGAAATACACATAGAGAGATAGATAGCTGCAATACCATCCAACCGGTGTTCCTTCCATTCATTCAGGAAAGAAAATGACTTTAAAGTTCATTATTAGGCTTTATATAAATCCATCAATTGAGGAAAATGAATGTATCATCTCAGGTATGATACTGCTGAGTCTGAGTCCTGACTCCAGCAGATAGATATCTGGTCTTTGAATTACAGAAGTTTTAGGAACGAACGGACGAACGAACGAACAATGGGTACGGAGTATTCTTGCTCAGATAGCAAGAAGGTCGGACCTTTAGCAGGAAAACGCAGCTCAGTTCAGCCCAGATTCATCAGCTGATACGGACAGAATTTATTTAGGTACATAGTATGTATGTACATACATATAGGTAAATGGAATTGGAGGAATATCCATGTCTTTTTTTTCCTCTGCCTTCTCTTCGCAAAATCCTGTTAATGGTTCTTTTTAGAGATATCCTCTCTCAGTTGACTACAGTGCTAGCACCCTGGACATGGCCACGATAAATGCATCCAGTTCAGAGGATTTGAAAACAGCTACTTTTTTTTCTCAGACATGGCAACCATGTTCTTCGATCTGCTGATCATCACCGTTGCCAATCGTGCGAACCTTTTTGTGTATGTACATGTACAGTACAGTACAAAACAGTAAAAACAACCAGTACTCCGTACACATAGTGCAGAGGTATCGACGTATGAGCCAGCTTAGAACCCACAACACCACTCCACTAGTTGCTATCCTCGCCGTCGCCTCGTGGAAGAAGGTCAGTTCTTGCGATAGCTTACGGATCAGAAGTATTCCGCGTGATACATGTAAGGAGATCTCGCCGTTAGTCATGTGTCAGAGAAAAAAAAATAAAAGGAATATTTTCTGGCTGTCGAGACGATTCTAGACTTCGCTGCTCTGACCTAATCATCCTGCCCCCCCCCCCCCCAGACGAGAGAATGAGTATGCAGCGTGCAGTCGAGTCGACAGGAATGACGGTACAATCCAACCCACAAGTTCCAGTCGAGTAATTGGCTCTCTAGACTAGAATATGCTTCATCTTGTAGAACTAGTGGAAAAAGAAGCAAGCTGAAATGAGATCGACCTGCTGCTATGTAAACAGCAAGCAGTCTATTATAAACTCGTTGGATGAATGGCAACATCCCTCTCCTGTCGACATGTCGTTTCCGATCGCCAACAATTTGTAATGAAAGCATTGCAACAGCGATATTATATTGTGTTGAGACCCTGTCCATGTCCAAGCCATGATATCTATCTATTATCTATCATCAAGGATATCCATTCAGCCTGTGCTGCGCGTCTGTCCTAGAATCTAAACTGGAATAACCATGATGACCTCCAGGCCATGAAGAAAGGAATCTCTTCAGGATTATATGAGCTTTTGCATGCTTCTGTTGGACAAATACATGCATAGCTTGCTTGCATTTTATGCAAGATTCTAATTCTAGTTCGATGGGAAAATAGAAGTAGAAGATCCTCTCCTGATCTGATTGAGCGATATATCTGTGTATAGTACTATATGGCAGTTTCCAGTTGTAAGTGATTTTACCTGAGAGATTCACAATATATATTCTATTTATTTTATTTTCTTTGTTCTTTTTTTTTCTCCACTATAATTTGGAAATCTTACCTTGGTTGCTATTTATGATTTTATTTCTATTTGAAGTTGTTTCTGAACGAGTCAAGGAATTAGTTTTAAAAGAACCTGTGAATGAACTTGTGAAGCCCAATGTTAGTAGTTAGTTACGTTGGACAAAAAGAAAGATGGACCAAACCTCCCAAAAACTTAGGTTTATACTTTAGTCAGAGTATTTATGTTACTATTGTCTTATTGTCTTGTCGCCGTTCAATCTTATCAATTATGGAGTAATATAGCAGGCGTGCTAGTTCCTAACAAAAAATATATTGTTCTTGTCGTCTGGTTTTACTTTTAACTATCGCTACGGAGCATATTCCCTGCTATATTATCCAGTACTACATTCCTTGCTAATATAAGTATGTCATAATGTTACCATCTGAGACAAGCTACTAACTAATGCATCTGCGTATACAAACTAGTATACTATCATAGTCAGTCCCTCGCTAATATATACTCCGGAGTACAATCACACTCTACTCAATATTTAGTGTATGTACTCGGTAAAACCCCCATGGAATCGAATCCTTTGCTGATCCTTCACTGAAATAACTACCCATTCGTCCGCAAGCCGGAGGAAAATTTACCCCACACTAATATGTAATCCCTGCCAATAATCCATACCTGACTGTTAGGGCCAGGGGATTTTCCCGTTGCAAAACGGTTTTCCGACTAGACAATGACAGGGGGCTGAATCCTGGATGGATATTCTTGTCAACGGGCCGACGACCCGCTGCCGCTAGGGTTTTTAGGCTTATCTTTAGCTTCCCGCCCTCTTCAAGTATGCGTACCTAGTTAATCACTGTCATTAATTGGGAATTCGGGATTGTCCTGGTCAGTTCAACATGATTGTGCTGATTCTTTGCAAATTTCTCATCTGAAGTGTTACAGAATATGAGAATAGTTTTCCTGTCAGGCCTGTCGGTACCATATGGGTCTTAGAGACCTAAAAATAACCTACCTATCAAGTATTAGGCTTACAAATTATATCCTTGCGGAATTTGAAATGCTTTTCTGGCCTTATCTATCCTTACCAAGACAGATATCTTAAAGCATGCTGCATATAGTTATACCGAGTAAAACAGTCTGTCGTATTAATTATGTTATGAAGTAATATTCTGATTAGTATTTGCATTTCAGCTCAAACCTATAGTTACCTTTCGCTGCCATTTCTTACTGTATCCTTGCAATAGAACTTACAAAGTTCATCGTATGTCTTTGTCTGCGTTATAGATCTTATTAATTATTCATCATTAACTAGTCCTTGGTCAATATCTAATATTTCTCTTTCTGTTCTTGTCTATATACATTAAGTGATGCTTCTTAGCGGCCCAAGCTAAATTTCCAGCTGAATTCGCCAGCTGAATCATCAGCTGCACCAGCTGTATCGATCCCAGCAATGCTGACACCCAGCCTCTCTGCACACCTTCCTAAGGAGATCTAGTGCCAAGCAATCCACCTGCAGAGCAGTGAGATGTGGTCATAATCAGGCTGATTGCCTCGCAAGAAAAGATTTTCTCCGTAAGTCATCGAATCATATTGACATCTCACATCACCTATCAGCAAGGAATGTATGCGTATTTCTAACTAGCGTGTATATTCTTTTCATGATTCTGATCTTGACTTCCCGAAAACATTTGTCGTCTTAAAGTTTAGTCTTCAGCTCTCGTTTTGGTCAGGAGGAAATAATGGATCGATCATCTTTGCTGTTTTAGAGTCGACGAAAAGAGTGGAACAAAAAACAAGGGAAAAAAAAAACAAAGATTAACAGAAAATTCAGTCTTGATCTTATTCTTGGCCCATGGACCTGATGAGTATGCTGTATATGCCAATAATAGATCTACTTGTTATTGCTATTTTTTAAAGCCGCAAATATATATATCTCGTACTAACATGACCTCAAAAAAAATAAATTCATGTGGATTATACCGTACATAAGAGTCCACTTCCCAACTAGATCCCAAGTCTAACAATCGTAAAATAAAAAAAATAAAATAAAAAAAATAATGGTAAGAATTATATCTGGACCGACTGTGTCCTGGACAATATGAGACGGAAGTAAACCATCAGAAAATGACATTATAGATAGAAATTGATTAAGAGGGCAACTCCTATGCATCATACATATACCCCCTAACCATGGTATCCAGTGGACAAAAATGCATATGCGCCTTTTCATTCGCAGTGATGCGAATTGTCAGACGAAAGACGATAACTAGAACTCTTGGTATGGATGACATGAAGAAACTGCGATAATTAGAGAGGGGAAAAAAAAGAGCTGATGATTAGCTTCTATCTCTTTCCTCCTTTCCTTTGTCTCCAGCACGTAATATTTTGCTTGCCTTGACAGGTGAGATAACTATTATATAGTACCTCCTAGGTAGGACTCGTAAGTAGTGTTGACGAATACTGCAACTACGATATTGTATCTAATCTAGATACTAGAGACCAACACACTCGTTGACTTTTATCATATAGATACATTGTTACTCTGCGGACAGAGATATGTCCAATAAGTACCTTGTACTCTCAGCGTCTATATATTACATTATATCTTTTGTATTCTTAGGAGAGCTCCCGGAGCTGTGCTCATTCCTTCAATGAGTGACATTCGTGGATGTTTGATACCTACATACATACCTAGCATGTGTAAATAATATCATCAAGGTTGGCGAGGAACTTGCTCCCAATACCATCACCAAAGGTTCAAACATATACTCCGAAGTATACTCCGGAGTATATATGTGTCTCTTCGAAGCAACAGCCACTGCGCCACATAACACCATTTCTATTCACAGTTAGAAGGATATTCTTCTACTCCGAATTCCCCGAGCGAATATGCATTAACATATTAATAATCATAATCAATGAATGAGGGATTAATTACTCCGTATTACTCCAAGCGAGGATCACCACCGCACGAACCATGGCCATGGCATTACTACGGAGTACGGAGTAGGATTCCGGTGTTTTGAATTAATATTCTCTCCGAGTGTTAACTGTGTTAACTCCCCGAGTTCTCGACTGTCTTCAGTTCGGTTCCTGTCTTGTCTTACTCCGTTAGCTCGTAGGTAGCTCGTAGCTCGTAGCGATGAGCACTGGAGTTCCGGTCCAGGTCCAGTCCAGTCCAGTCCAGTCCAGTCCCAGTTGAACGGAACTTGAGGAAATACTCCATAACGGCGACAAAGAGACACTTACTGCACTCGATCGTCAGACGATCACAACGGAGGAGGGGGTACACAGTACGGAGTCCTGTGCAGTCTGTAGTAGCAGCACCGATGCAACAGAGTATGGACGGAGTTCTCCGTACTCTGTACTCCGTACATACTCCGTCCAGTAAGTAGAGTACCCACAGTAATTAAACACCCCGGTTCCTTTCAGTCGCAGGATCTGCAGGTGCCAGGTGCAAAGACCGTTGAACAATGCACAAAAACATGATTGATTGGTTGAAGATGCCTCGGCTCAGGGCTAG